GAGGCAAATAAAACACATTCCAACAGGTGAGACGTAACCTAATAACGACAGATTTTGTTTGCAAACTTGAACCACATTTTCTTTTCTCCCAAATCTATCTAATTCTGCTTTTTATACACAAATATTAAACTTACCGAATCGATGGTTACAAAAACGTAACGCAACGTAAAGCAACTCAATGCAACATAAATTCAATACTTGAGAAAATTAGGTCCAAAATCCCCTATAAACGAGAAAACAAAAATTAGATTCTTCAAAAGAGACCCTTTTTCTCGGAACCACCGAACGTGAAAGAAAGAAGCACCACAGGAAATTAAAACAAAACGGAAGAATTAGAAATAGAAATAATACAACGATGGACCAAGGTCTTTCTGCAAGATAATTGCATTTACAAAACTGATGTAATGGTAGAACAACCACAAACCTATTCCTCAATGATCTAACATATCTTATTCCCAAATGTTAGGGTGATGCTATGATTGCCAGTGAGATGTTACTGGATAAGGTTACAGACAGTATGGCTTGCTGGGAGTACCATAGCAAGGGATTTGGATGATAATAGTTATTGATTAGCATCTGAAGGTAATTTTACTTCAAACACTTCCTTGAGAAGTTCCAAAAGAAAATTCCTCTTTTTTACTGAGGATTGCCTAAAATTGGAAGTTGATTTTTTTCGAATTTCCAAGAAACAAAATACTCTCTCTGGTAGAAAAGGCGAAAATAAACCGAAAATATCTTCTGCTAATTTCACGTCAAACGCCTCCTAAAGAAGTTCCAGAAAATCTCCACTTTTTACTGGAGATTCCCTAAAATTGGATGTTGTCTTTTTTCGAATTTCGAAAAAACAAAATATCTTATCCGGTAGAGAAGACGAGAAGAAACCGAAAAGTTTTCTTGATAATTTTACGTCCAAGGCTTCCTAAAGAAGTTCCAGAAAGAAAACTCTTCTCCTTTTTACTGGGATTCTCCAAACATGGACATTGACATTTTTGAATTTCGAAGAAACAAAATATTCTATCAGATAGAAAAGGCGAAAAAAAACCGAAAAGGTCTCTTGGTAATTTTACGTTCAAGGCCGCTTTAAAAAGTTTCAGAAGAAAATCCCTACTTTTTACTAGAGATTCCCCAAAATTGGAAGTTGACTTTTAATAGGGTAATTTTTTATTCAATAATAATTTTTCATCTTCTATATTTAATTGCAATTTAGGTTGAAAATGTGCAATTTGTCATGTTAAATTTTTGTAAAACTTCACTGATTAATTATTCCTTATGTGTTAATGGAGAACCACACGAAAATATATAAAACTGTATAATTATTCAAAAACTGTACCTACATAGGAAACTGTATGATTATTCAAAAACTGTACATCCCACATAACAAAATTGCATCCTTAGAATGTATTGGGAATGTTTTTTTTTTAGGAGGAATGTGCCTAGAATGTTCGCCAAAACCATTGCGAATGTCCTGAGAATGTTCTGAGAAAAGATTGTAGAAATACTGTTTGCAATAGCTAAGAACTTCCTGAGAAATCCATTAGGATATTCCTAGAATATACCTTTAAGATTCTCAGTACATCCTGAAAAGAATATTCTTGTTTGATTCTAAAAATATGCTCGATATGTATAGGTATTCTCACATTCAAAGAATGTTTCTATGATATTATAGTTATGTTCTCAAAAGAATATTATACCAATATGCTTGAAATATTCTTAGAATATATCTACATATATCATTCTCAATATGCATCCTAGACATAACATTCTTGGTTGATTCTAAGGATATACTTGGAATGTTAATTTTCGCTTTTAAATAATGCTCCTTCCAGCCCTTTTATATTAAAGGCAGTGAAAGAGTTGTTGGAAAACTTCTCTGGAAAACACAAGTATTTAACCAAAGCTCCGGTGTCGAGCTTGTTATGCTCTCGTCAAAGCACACCAACTGAGAGAAACAGGTTCCAAGGTGATTCAAACGCGAGGTAAGATGTAGATCTTTAATAGCGCGTAGCTCCCTCTCTTGGAAGTCCTACAAAGCAAAATGAAAAAAATATACCTATAATATTCTTAGTAGGTTCTAGATAGATTATTGTTTAATTGTTAAATTATGATTTTTGAGTAGGTACTTCAGATAATTAGGTGAACAATATGAAAATATTCTTATCATGGTTACCTACCTACATAAACTTCTCAGCATATTCTTAATACTTGATAGAGATATTAGCCAAAAAAACATTTTTTAGGGTACATTATAATAATGTTCGTATGAAAATATTCAAAGATTGTTTCAGGTAGGTGCATAGAAGCAACATTCCTAGTACATAAATAGAATGTTCAAAAATGAATATTTCAATCGAAACAATCTTAGAATATTCATTAAACATTCCTAAAAGAACATTCCAAAAAGCACTTTGAGGGAATATTCTGAGAATATGAATGTTCTTTCACTGTTATGTGGGATAGGATTAAATTCATCCTAACATGGAAAAGTTGAAGGAAAAGTCAGAAACAGGAAAATACTAGTGGCTTATACTCGATCGACCTACGAACGAATGGAGAACCATACGAAAATATACAAAACTGTATGATTATTCAAAAACTGTACCTACATAGGAAACTGTATGATTATTCAAAGAAACAAAATATTCAAGTAGGTAGAGAAGGCGAAAAGAAACGGTAAAGGTGTATACTCTTTCTGGTAGAGAAGGCGAGAAGAAACCGGAAAGGTCTCTTGTCAATTTTACGTCCAACAACTCCTAAAGCTAGAAGAAGTTCCAGAAGAAAATCCACGCTTTTATACTGGGATTTCCCATAATTGTAAGTTGAATTCTTCCATACCACTGAAAAATTACAATATTTTCCAGAACCTTGGATAATATGAGTGATAATACATGTTTATACATTTTAGTTAAAGAGCGAGAATAATTTTTTTGCATTTTCTTGACTCCGGAGACAAAATTAAGTTACTACCATATATTGAAACCCACGAGAGAGGAGAGAAAACGAGACGAGACGAGAGAAGAGCCCTCTTGTCTCGAATCGAGGGTCGCTCGTCGAGAAGAGAGATTCATTTTCTGTCAAACCTTCGACACAAGACGATAGAGAGCGTATTCTCGTCTCGTCTTGCAGCATCACAAATTAGGCATTTTTAACTTCAGATATTAGTCAGATACAAATTGTAAGAATCTTCATTCGTTTTGATGACTAATTCCTGATTCATCTTCATTCCATATAAAAATATAATTTTTTATTTATTTTTATCAAATTATTAGTTTTATGAAAGTCTGTTCCACCAATCCAATTATATATATTATCTAAAATAAGTGAGATATGATTTGCTAGAATCAAATTTGAATTTCATGACTTCCTCCTGATACTTAAGTTCTTATTCTTATATCTTGCTCTAATGCATTTCCACTATTTAGAAGAAATTAATGAAAATTCCGATGAAGATGTAAGATTGTGAAGTCTTGAAATACCTTGAATTCATTTAGAAGAAAACTGTAATTCTTGAATCACAAAAAGATAGTGATTTCATATATCTTCAATCATGATGCATAACTAATGAAGTGAGCTGGCCCAAAAAAAAAATGACACTTCTGCAACTTCCGCACTAACCAAAGACAAATTTTATATTATTCAGGAATACGATAATGGATCTTGTTATGCAAATTTTCGAATAGCAGGTACTGGCTGTCATGAAGATGAAATAGTTATTTATGTACCAAGGCTTGTAAGTGTTACTTTTTTGGCCGATGATGCAGTTTGCAAGCCGAGGCCCGTAGGGCCGAGGTTTGCAAGCATTTGAGGCCAAAAAAGTACATGCTACAAGTCGATGTGCATAGGATATTTTTTGTGCTACCGTACATTCAAGATAATGAATATCATGATGAATTTGATGGTTCACCTATTTGCTTTGTTCGCGAAGAAGTTCCCAAACTGATCTGAACTCTAAAGAAAGAATCACATCATGAAAAGCCATTGATATGAAGCAATATTAATGGCTTTTTATGGTGTGATTCTTACCTTAGCGTTCAGGGTTGGTTTGGGATCGTCTTCGCAAATATAACTATTTATATTATTACCTATCTGTTTATCCTAATTTCAACTTTTTGACGTTTGGAAGTCGAGTTTTTTTGTGACATTATTTTGACAGAGATATGAACCAAGCAATTTTCACCTTTCATATCAACACTTTTTTGGCCCGGTCAAAAAAGTAACTTTTTTGACCCGAACTGTAAGTGACACTTACAGTTCATGGACGTAGGTAAAAAAAGTCAACTTACAGAATGGGTAGTACAAAAATTAGTGATTTGTTATCTGAATATTTTAGCTTTCAAATATAGGTACCTACCTAACTAAATAGTATCAGATTTTCTGACGAAATTAGTCTCTTTCAAGTGAAGTATAGAAAGACATTTCGCTAGAATATGAAAAGATGAAATGTTATAGGTCTATATAGAAGTAGATTAATCTAACACTATTACCAGCAGTTAATATGTGCTAGAGCCTCTTCCTGGAGAATCCTTTTTGAAATTTTTTGGTCAATTATCACATAAAAAAGTCTAAGACAACAATTATGAATCATTCTATAAATCTTCTTCAAACAAATACTTCCTTCCTCATTAGTTTTTCTTCATCTATTTTTTCATTTGATTCAATGCGTATCTGATTTCTTTCCGTAAAGCCACCGATACATTTTCCTTCCTACGCACAATGCAAGCTATAATTTGAACTCTCGCATTGAATCAAATCGGTGGTATACAATGATGAATTCTTATACTCTACGAAGTGAAACATTTTTGCACTGGTGCATGTACGTGCGAACCGTTTTCCTTTTATTATTTCACCGATAAACATATATTATTAAATAACTGATGCATTATTTATTGTTTCGTCTTTTTTTTTCTTGGTTCAATTATTTAAATATCAAGGTTTTTAGTTTTCTGAATAATGCGTATGTAGATTTTTTTTAATTTTAAAAATTTTTTGTGAGAAAAACTTACCTTTTTTTCCCTCCTGGTTAAACTCACTAGTTCAACCAAAAATTCAGCACATACAGTCCAGACACAACAATTTTTCAAAAAAAAATCCAAAATAACTCAGTCAACTGTTATGCTTGTCCCAAGAGCTAACTACACTTCTAAATCACTCGATATTTTAACACTTAATAAAAAACCCAAAAAGGCCACTTGGTAAGTAATCTGTCATAGTCATCATATCAATAATAGTCAAATGAAACAATTTTTTTGTTCATAAGTACATTGTCACTCCAACACTAGAAACCACCGACAAATAAAAAATAAAAAATTCCGAATTGTCCATGGAGGTAGTTTTGGTGGTACTCTCGCGCTCGCACGTGCTTTGGTGTCCCTAGCAAGATCGGACGTGGTGCTGTCTTAACGATGGTCGGCGGTTCACTGAGCTGGTCGTGGTTTGCGTCCGGACCACGCCAAAGGATCTGCTCTAGTTCTGGGCGAGATCGAAAGTGTTTTCTTCGCGGATGGACCCAGCTGGGTGTAGTAGTTGGTGGAGGTTGGCGGTTAACTTGATGGTCAGTTAGCTTTTAACAGTATTTCCACGTTAGAACTACTGGGTAGATTGACTGTATAGGAAGTTCAGTCGATAATTGATTTGATTGGGATTTTTCACTTTTGATAATTGGCCAGTAACGTGTTTTTCTTCTCCCATACCTTATTTACCTTCTTAAGTTAATAGTTGGAAACTTTTTATAAATAGTTATACATAATAATATGATACTAATAAGGTTGGTGTTCATCAGAACGTCTGAGTCCTTCAACAACTTCAGGGCAAAAAGAAACTTCTAAATTTCTTTGTTTATACAGAATGAACTATCTTCATTTTGCATAAATATTCAATCACAAATAAAATTGAAAGAACCACGCAGTATTCATCAGAAGAATAAGAAAATTTTCAAGATGGAAATGATGAATAGGCGGATTTGTCCGATCTTTTTAATACTGACAGGGTAAACTCTATGCGCTTTCTGCTTGAATCTCGATTACTTAAACTTTTTTTGTTGAGTGGTGGATTCTCTCACGAGAACAATTTTTATTCCTCTACCATTTAATTTTTGAGAATTTGCCGGTACGTACCTACCGTAACGTAACAGTGGAATTTCTTGCCAAGCTGCTCATATGTGTTTTGATCAGACCTGGTGTCCTTATGATTTTATCCAAACTCGCGCTTTGTAGCATGGTTTCGGTTACCTTTGCTACATTTCTAATCTTATTATCAGCTCTACTATATTGTGGAGGAATGTAGCATGGGTCTATACGTGGTAAAGTCGATTCGTCGTATACGTCAATTAGTCGTACAGTCAATTCGTCCTATACGTCAATTAGTAACTATGTTGGTAACACAAGCCTTTTCTACACAAAAAATTTGAAAGCATTGACAATTTTACATTGTATTGCCAACATAATGTCATTTTGACTTTTATCTTTAAAAAAAAAAACACACTTTACATCCATTTAACGTACGGCAAATTAATAATAAAGAAAAGTTGAAGATTATGTAAATGTTTACATCCACTTAAAAATTAGGAAAATTAACGTTACACACGGAAAAGTTGAAGCAACTTTAACCTAAGGAAATTCGTGCGTTAATTTCAATAATAATTATAAATGACGGACAGATTGAACTAGTCTGTGATTATCAATGTCATCGGTGATTACACGTAGGAAAATTAACTTAATTCCGAACAAAAACCTTCCCAGTTTCGTACGTTAATTATAATTTTCCGTACGTTAAGTTAAGTGGATGTAAATGACCCTTAGGCCCAGTTTCACAATCGTTGGTAACCATAGGGGGTTAGATAACCACTACCTGTAGGTTACCATACCCTTCCGTTCAAGTCTTGTTTCACACCTAAAATATTCCCGAAGGTTATGAAACCACTGGTTAGATTTTCGTTTTTACAATTGGTAACGATTTTTGACAGATTTTTACCTGAAAATAAGATGTCAAGTCGCAATAACCTAAAATGTTTGGTGTAGAAATTGATTGTAAACAAAGTAATTAATTTGTTATAGTTAGTGACTTAGATATTCAGGTTGGTTTTTTTGAAAAAAGGTTGGATTGGGAGAAGAAATGTGAAGGTTTTTAAGGAAAAGTACAGGAATTTGGGACATTCATTGTTTACGCAATAGTATTTGAAATTTAGTAAACTAGACTGCGTCTGGAAAATCGCGCAAACAAATAGAAATAGAAATGAAAATGATACCATAGGGTTGTCGAAATACACAAAAGTTATTACCTGCACTCACCTGGGTTTTCTTATAAGCTGTGCGTATATACGGGAATCCCCTGGAAAACCCAACGTATCACCATCGACTTAAGGCACTCAAGGTCCCTTTTTAACGGCACAAGACATAGACTTTTTGAGCGTAAAACACGGAACCGGTAAAAATGCAACGTGCATATCAAGTACCATTGATCTAGTGTGTGTAAATCCAAATCTTCAACGGTTGTCTCGGTCGGCGCAGGTTCGTAGAAAATACACTCCTCTGTGTTTTATACGAAATTGACATTTAAATTATTCTTTAATAAGAATGAGAAAAAACCAAATTTATAAATAATGTTGCGTTAACATTCATGTTAGTAACAAACTGTATTGCTGCTTCTAGTTCATGATCCATAGGGGGCAACCTATTATTCTCATCACACGCTAGGTTATGTAATATGGCAGTTGCTATAATAATAGCTTGCACCGTGTCCAAATTTCGTAACCTCATTTTCATGGCCAATGCAGGAAATATTTTTTTCCAAACTCCATATTTCCTTTCAACTACGTTTCTAGTCCTTATTAGAGAATCATTGTACAGGGCTTCAGCTTCATTTCTTACAGCTCGTAGGGGTGTTAGCAAGTAAGGTTTCACTGGATACCCACTATGATGACATTGTCACCAAACTGACCTCTTTCTAAATTAGAACTGAATTTCGGAATATGTGAGCATCATGGGCTGAACCTTGCCATCAGGTAATGATGTCCCTAAATTTCAGATCTGCGTCTGCGATTGATTGAACCTTGAATGAGAGAAACTGTTTTCTGTTTCTGAACAGTTCCGCATTTTCATCTCCTGGAGACTGAATTTTAACGTGGGTGCAGTCTATACACTTTGGTAATCGAGCCAAATTGAAAAACTTTTGACGCACTCTTTCAATCTCCTCAGCAGCTGGCATCTGAATATAATTTTGTCGCAATAGCTTGACTCACCCTCCTGACAGTTCGTGAAGCAGTTGTTTTGCTTACCCCATGATGGTCTTCTGTAATACGTAAAAATGACCCATTGGCATAGAAATTGGGGGTAAGCAAAAGCTGTTGACTAGGTGAAAGACACTCGTTTCTAAAACAAAAAAATAGGATGATAATATTTTGAATATTAGAGGATATTCCATTTTTACCTGTGTGTTGGATGAGCAATCAGATGCTCAATTTGCGGTAGTAGGTACTGTTTTAATTACTGTTCTGGGAGTTAATCCAAATGAGCTGACAAAATCATATTCATCATACTCCTCCAAATAATGAATTCTAGGCCTAAATATTCTTGGTCTTCGCGCTTCTTCATCGCTGCTATACGCATTTATGTCGTAATTCGGATTATTTGCATAAAAAAACTAACGTTTTCCAACTTTCAAAACTGACATGAAAAATTATCTTACCTACAAATTGAACAGAATTCTCGCTTTGTGTCGCTTGACCAGTAGTTAACTCATGTCCAAGCCTAGGTTAATTTGACAGTAGGTTAACTATAAGTTCTTGAGGTAACCGTTGATAATAAGACACCATTTTTTATTTAACTAGTAATTACAGGATAATTTATAGTTAACCAACTATTGTGAAACTGGCCTTTAGTGTCTATTGTTAATTCGTCGTTTAGGTAATTCTTCGTATATGTCAATTTTTCATATTTCAGGTATAATGTTGAAATGTATAAATTCACACTTTTTTGTTTAATCAAACATTACCAAACTTACCGATAATAACCCGGTTAGTTTTTGTTAGTTTGTAATTTCAATCAGACATTACATTGCAAACTTAGTCATACTAACCGGGTTATTATCGGTAAGAAGCCATACTAACCGGGTTATTATCGGTAAGTTTAATAATGAGTGATTAAAATTGCAAACTATACATGAGTCACCAGTGATGCCTAGGATTCAGTAATACGGACAGGGATGTTTGACCCAATTTACCTCCAATACGAGCTGCTAGTTGACGTTACTTTACGACAAATTGACGTATACGACAAATTGACTTTACGACGAATTGACGTATATGTCGAATCAATGCTACGACGAATTGACGTATACGACGAATCGACTTTACTACTAATTGGTGTACGACGAATTGACTTACGACAGATTGATTTATGATGAATTGACGGTGACCCATGTAGCATAATATTAACTGAATGAGAATGGAATTTTTGGCATTCTTAGGAATTTCTTGGCATTTTTTGTGGAATTTTTTGGAATTATTCAACTCAATTGAAACGACTGGGTTTACACCGACATCTTTTGATAAAAATCCAAAAAGAAAATTCCATATTTTTCTGACCAGGTTGTAACGAGCCAAAATTGCCTAACTATTTTCATGCTTGTTTTTCAGTTTTTTATTCAAGATTCCTTTAATTTTGTTTACCTTATCCTCTATAAAATTCCAACAATAATTACAACAGTTGCATGTTGTAAATTTTCAAATTTTCAATATTTAAATTCTATTTTCATTGATTTTAATCCATATTTTAAATCCCATTTCCAATCTGATTTTCATAATAATGAACAAATAAATATTCATTTGTCAAAAAATATTTCTTTTGGGGTTATGTCCCCGAATCATAATAATCCGTTTTCAAAGTGTATGTACCGAACTACTCGGTTCGGCTATTGAACTCAGTACAGTTTTAGTTGAACCCGGTTCAATCATTGGTTCCATAATCTTTGATATGTGCTCTGCGCTATTCTTGCTTTCTATTTTTTGACTTTTGAAGTGTCATTAATTTTTGTCAACTGGCTTTCGATTAGTAATATTTTGGTATCGTCGATTCCTGTTAAGTCCTATTAGTTTTGCAACACGGATCACTTACTCCATATCGTATTCTTCAAATTATAATTGTTCTATTGGATAATTTCTTGTTGTTATTATTATTATTCGTCAGCCGTTGCCATTTTTCTGTGATTATATCTATTGTTGTGTGCAATTTTTGGTAAGTAAGAATTTTAGCGATTAATTTTTGACATTTGTGGTTATTCCCAATCATCTCTGAATCCCTACTTTTAGGACAGTTAATTAATTTTATTTCCTACTGAACCATTAAAACCATATCATACCTTGGTTACGATAATCATAAACAGGTCTTAACTCCCAGGGGAGTTAAGGATATCATAACTCCCAAGGGAGTTAAGGAT